CATGAGACAAAGTGTATGTGAACTGCTGTATGGAAAGTGAATTTGCTCTGTAAATTTTCACCCAAATCACAATTTTAAAAAAAAGTTGGTGGTTCAAACCCACCCAGCAACCCCGAGAGAGAGAGAGAGAGAGAGAGACAGACAGACAGACAGACAGACCTGGCAATCTGCTCTCGTAAAGATGACAGCCTAGGAAACTCCATGGGGCAGTTCCATTCTGTCATATGGGGTCGCTATGAGTTGGAATTGACTCAATGGCACAAAACAACAACAGCAACTCGGTGCCCACTGGGTGCTGGAGAGGGAGAAGGAGGCCGCCCCTCTGGGGGCCTGCTGAGCACTGTGTTAGGAATGTGCAGCTTGCAGATCCAGGCCGACCTGGGTGGGTGCCTGTCTCTCTGTGCCTCAGTTGCCATGGCTTAGTTATCCGGTGCTACTGTAACGGAAACACCACATGGGGGTTGCTTTAGCAAACAGAAAGTGATTTTCTCATAGCTGGGAGGCTAGGAGTCCAAATGGAGGGTGCCGGCTCTGGGGGAAGGTGCTCTCTCTGGGTGGGGGCTGGGGGAAGATCCTTGTCTCCTTTGAGCTTCTGCTCCTCCGTTCCTTGGCTATCTTGTGGCGTGTATCTCCCTGCACACACGCGCTGTTGGCTGTTGTTTGCTTCCTCTGCTCTTTTATGCAGTGAAACCTTTGAAAGCCGGAAGCTGGGTAAGGTGGAAGCCTGTCAGAGAAGGAAAACTCAAGTATTTTCCATAGTAGAGAGCGATAGAAAAGTGGTGAGGCCACACCTGTCGAAGGTGGGAAATTCTCCAGATCCGGAAAAACAAGGCAGATCCTTTGGAGTTCCGGCTCTCACAGGTTTCCCTGCATCTCAGAAGAGATTGACTCAAGACCCTGCCTTGGTACTGCCTTATTATCATAACAGAGAAAACCCCTTCCCAGATGAGATTGTAACTCCAGACGTAACCCAGAGCATATCCCTTGTTGTGGTGTCCATGCCAACTCATAGCAGGCCTACAGGACCGAGTAGAACTGCCCCATAGGGTTTCCAAGGCTGTCAATCTTTTTTTTTTTTTTTTTTTTATCTTGTCGAACAGTCAATATCCTCTGTCCTAT